GGGTCATTCCACGTCATTCTTTGCGTTTTCCACTTCAGGGTTAATCAAAATATATGAATCGGTATCCCAGCGAGCAATATTGCCACAAAGAGTTAATCCTAATCACTGAGTACTCACAGCTACAGTACAGGTATAATAAATAGTTCACACTTCACTGTCAGAATAAAATCCAGTAAAATCCAAATAATCTTCTGCTCATTCTTCCAGGGGTCACTTCAAATGGCATTGCTGGTACCAGAAATGGAGCTACCGATGCGGTACACACAATTCACAAAATAATAATGGTAACGTTATGTGTGGTATCTGTGAGATAAATACCAATTGTTCTAGTATTAATAATATATTCGAAGTATAATGCAACACATATAACCATTAACAGCGTTCACAGTACCAAAATCACATCCTACGTATAGTCAACGACGGATTTTAAGCCACACTTTGAATCGAAGTAAATTCTAAATTTTCAACTCTGATTGGCCTATACACTTCGAAATTCAATTTCGATAACAAATCAAACCAACTGATTTGTAATAGCTGAACCTGATTGGCCACAATACATGGATACACATATAAACTTCGGTGTGGCTTAAAATCCATCGTTGACTGTAGTATACCGGTAAACATCATCTCGTGTGTAAATTCTAAGTTGACACCGCAGGGATTCGAAGTTCGAATCCCAGAATTTCGAACCCAGGTCTCCTGCAAGCAGGCGCGCTTCCATTGCGCCACAACGTCATGTTCTTGAACATCTTTCTGTCGCGGTCATCGTTCTTGTCACCCTTCTACAGCATACCGCTGTTTCATGAGCTGTAGAGTAAGTAATTTGACCGAGACGACACTGCAGACTTACCGCATCAGTCGATGTACAGGATTCGCGGCGGGTCCGCGACAGGTCGACGGTTGGTAGATAGCGCAGCTACCGACACACATGAGCATGTGTGTCATAGCGTTAGCTGTGCTATCTACCATCGCTGCGCCCATCTGTCTTGTGCATCATGCCAGCGCCTCTTGGCTCCACCATCGGCAGTGGACTTGCTAAAATGTGAAAGGAATAAGACGCCATGGTTTTTAAAGTAACCAATTTCGTTTTACTCCTTGTTAAGTACGCCTAGTACTAAGTACTTACTCACATATTGCCGAAGTTTTCACTTGTTTTCGAAGTTTTGCTCAGATACTCACATGTTGGCGATAACCCCTACACCAGCACTATCCCGTGAAAAGTCAGTCGTTAGGTATTGATAATCGTGCCTTGCTTAAGCTTAAGTTTAGAGTAACCAATGCCCGATGACAGTCGTGAAAACGTTCGAAACATTATGTGCACACGGTGCAACCCAAGCACCCTTGTGGAACATGCTACAGTACTGTGTATTTGACATCACCGAAGCAATGTCTAAATGCGGTTATTTAGGACACTTCAGGATTCAAAAACGATGCCTCAACAGGAATTATGACCATTCTCCGAAAAACAAAACTCTTTATTGCAACCATTGGCATTCTACGTTAGTAACCGAGGATTCCTCTTGGCCTCTACTTTGTGTTCGTCAGCCTTTTACTGGTATTTTCCCTCGTTGTCCAGCAACAGACTGACATGTCACCACATGTACCCATGTACTTTTGTGATGTCAACGACCCAGGGTAGAATGTTCCACGACGGGTTCTTGGTTTGCACCGTGTGCGCATAACGTTTCACGACTGTCATCGCCAATGTATTGGTTACAATACGTAACGTTATACTGGTAACGGTACTACGTTTGTATTAATAGTAGTATAAACGTAAGCACGTATTATAGTAATAGTATTAGCGTTAGTGGTAACTACAGTACACCGTACGTAGTAGTAGAAAATGGCACGTCTGCAAATACCTAACGACTAACGACTACGATTCACGGATGAGTGGCTAACGTACAGTACAGTATTACAAGTACTACTGTATTAGTGTGGTAGAATAGTGTCTAGGGTTACCCCATTCGACGTATAGAATTCTGCGAGCATTTTGCCATGAAAATAAATGATTGGAATTGCCATCACTCGAAATATTTGCTCCAACATGTGCATTTCACATAGTTTTAGCCAATCGTCCTTTACTCATGTGTCATCAATCGAAAGGTACAACACCCACGCCCACCTCCGCATCACACACACCTTTACGGAACGTGTATCCCACGATGTCATGTAAAAGTTGTCCAATCACAACTTGCTTGCCCTACCTTCGTCAAACTCGACAACACGCTACCTCATTGTTAATTTCACCAACCCTTGCAAGCATGAAGTCAGCCGCGTTCTTAACTCCGATGGCCTTTATCGTGGCTATGATGGTCCAAGATGCTTCTGCCCACGGCCGTCTGCTCGTGCCTCCGCACCGTGGCTACATTGGCAAACTGCCGCAATTCAATGGCCTTGTTCCCGTTAACTTCGGTGACCACAGCCTCAGCGCTGGCGGCATTGGCCAAACCAGAGGCGGCAAACATGGGATATGCGGCGACAGGTACTCTGGAAAGCGCTTGCACGAGACTGGCGGTGAATTCGCCAAGTTCCCCCAACTTCGCGAAAAGGTCATCGGGGCGTGCTACGCCCCCGGGTCCACTATGGACCTTCAAGTCCAACTCACGGCCAACCACATGGGGTACTTTGAGTTTGGGCTATGCAAACTGAACTTGCTCAACGACAAGGAAACGGAAGATTGCTTCAAAACGCTTGTCCAGCCCAACGGCGAAAAGGACTGGAAAGTGCCAGCGGGGAACAAGGTCTTCAACATGCAGTACATGCTCCCCGATGGCGTGTCGTGCGACGGCGACTCCCACTGTGTGCTTCGGTGGCACTACGTCGGATGGAACAACCCGGATGTGGGTATCGACGGCCAAGAGCAGTTTTGGAACTGCGCCGACATTTACGTGAGCAACACGTGCGGGTCCAGCCCGTCGCCTAGCTCGTCCCAGTCCACGCCCAGCACGTCCACGCCTTCGACGTCCAAGCCGACCATGACCAACGCACCCAAACCCACTGCCCCCTCGTCCAGCACTGACACCCCTGTGACCACGGACACCCCTCCGTCCACCTCTGGCACCCCCCAGCCAGTGGACCCCCAGCCAGTGGACCCCCAGCCAGTGGACCCCCAGCCAGTGGACCCTCAACCAGTGGACCCCCAACCAGTGGACCCTCATTGTGGCGGGTGCACCA